ATATATTATACATATTTATCCTATATAAAAGCCAACAAGATAGACTATTGAAATATTTTGTTGAAATATTTCTTTTTATAAAAACAAATTTATTTATTTACAATAATTCTTCCTTTATATACTTCCTTTATATACTTGCAAATTTTATAATAGATATATATATTATGCATATATTCATTTGTTTAATTATATTGTTTAATATAACCAAATATACTTGAAGTTATTGAAAACATAAAATACAATACGCAGTCAGTTTTACTGTTATACAATATAATTATACAACATAATTAAAAAGAAACATTTTTTTAAAAACATGTGGGCTGGGGAAGTAAAAAAAGATGTTGTAGCTCTGGTAGTTCATATGTATCCATTGTGTAAAGTAAATTGAAATATAGTTTATAATATATCATATTTTAATTAAAATATTTCAATTTTAACCACAATAAAGATTCTCTCTAGCATTGCGATATGCCAGAGGAAATAAAACAGGAAGCCATAGAAACCTGCGTCACTGCTGTAGAAAAATATCCAGAAAATTATGAACACGCAGCTCGTATGATTAAAGATAATCTGGATAAAAAATTTGGACCACCTTTCCAAGTAATTGTTGGAGAAGCTTACGCATGTGCAATAACATATCAAGAGAAATCACTATTGTACATGTTTATTGGAGGTAATACAGCAGTTCTTGTATGGAGGACAGTCGCAGATTTTTGATGAATTCTCGACAAAAAAAATTCTAAATTGTAACTCTATCATGTGTATATATAATTTTTTTTTAAATATATATTATATCTTTTGACAAAAAAGTATACATCTCCATGTTGAATCTTTTATATACAATGCCATACACATTAATTCTTCCATTATGTATAATAATAAATGATTCAATAAGTTCTGCCAGAGAAAAGGAAATATTCAATATATTCTTATTTCAATTAGTTTATCATGTCTTATGTACATCTAGATATATTTGCTTATAAATAATGTTGCTTCTCCAATATGCGCGCAATTGCATTTAATTATTATGATATAAATATCCAACTTAAATACAGACATTGGACCCATGTATACTTATGAGACACATAAAAAATATTCTTTTCTTATATCGTTGTCACTCTCTCTGTTATATATGTATAATACAAACACCTTTACCCATGTCTACAAATATTTCGAGTTAATTCACATATAATTTGTTAAAAATGCATTATAATTATCAAAATTACTCTATGCAGATTTCCAAATGCATATCGCTAAATTGCCGGCGCAGTACATATACAAAAGATGTTTCAATTGATAAGTTATTTCAAAGCCATAGCCTTCTCCAACGACAGTATGCCATGATGCACCAAATTTCTTATCCATTGTTTCCTTGATCATTCGAGACACGCTCTCATAGTTGTCTGCATATTTTTCTGCTGCAGTCACACATAATTCCATTGCTTCTTGCTTCATTTCATCTGACATATCACATTTCTGTAAATAAATATCAAAATAAATATATAATCAAATTAATATAATATATAGTAACATAATTA